AGACATTGGAATGAGACCCCACCTCCTCTTGCATCCCCAGACACACCTCACTTTAGTTTTATGTTCTCCGCATACATCCTCGACTCTCAAAAATAGGGGTGGTGGTGACTACCAGTGTTCCCTCTAAGCTGTGGAGTCCTGTGAGCAAAAATTCTACTTTGTGAGCTACTGGCATTAAAGTCGTGAGCGAGCGAGTTGGCCACTGCATCAATTAATTAGTTCGCTCTGGAGCCATCCTTTCTGAGGCAAAAATGTGTGAGCCGGAGGCTAAAAAACTGTGAGCAAGCTCACACTAACTCAGTTTAGAGGGAACACTGGTGACTACTGTGGAGGTCATTCAATTTCCCATTTTGGTGTCTGCACCCCTTTGGGTTTAAGAGGCCCAGAGTTGTACAGAGGAGGACGGTTTGCCACCTGAGAAACTGTACGTTTCTAAGTGCCTCCAGCCTGTTCTAACGTATCCTTTTCCATCTTTCCTGAAAACCTCCAAGGCCTTAATCGCCGGGAGGATTTCCCTTTGCTGGCGACCCGAGCTCGTCAGCTATCGGCTTCTCCCGTCTCCGATGCCACGTAACAGAATAGTTTTAAGTGGTGCTTGGAGCGCTTTGCAGGCTGATGGCTGCATTTGATGGCTGTAAAATTACGGCTAAATAGGCCCAACAGCCGAAACATGATCTGCCCTCGATAAGAACAGATTGTAATTTGTAACCGAGAGTGAAAAGGAAAGTACGTGCCCAGCAAGGGCTGCTGTGAACTGCAGGCTTGCCTGATTTCAAGTCTGCTGTGAAGACATCCACTTATAATTAAGTTTGCCAACCTCCAGGGGGGTCCTTGAGATCTACAGACTACAGAGTAGGGTGGCCGTTCCCCCACTTGGCGGTAGGGGATCCCCTGACGCCGATCAGCTAGCCAGCAGGGGACTTACCAGCAGGGGAGGAATGCTGTTGCTGGTAATGTAGCGACATCACTTCCGTTGTGTACCAGAAGTGACATCATCATGTCACCAGCGTTGTGATGACACTCTGGTATTTGGGCAAAAACTCTATGGTAGAAGCCATTATTAGATAAGAGTTTTTTGCCCAAATTCCAGAGCATTGCTGGGATGTTGGCGATGTGATGACATCATTTCTGGTGCATGCTGGAAGTGATGACATCATTTCTGGTTCATGCTGGAAGTGATGTCACCACGTAGCCGGCGATGTGGTCTAGGCCTCTCTTCTGCTCCTGGTAAGTCCCCCCTCCCGCCTCTCAGCGGTTGCCAGTGTTGGCAGAGTGTAGGTATGCATAAACATTGAGCATAAGCTGTTTAAAGAATAAAGTCAGTTAATTAAGAAGAGAACAAACTTTGTAAGAAAGAGGAGAGAGAGAGAGATCAGGTCTAACTGTCTGACTAGCTAGGAAAGAGTCAGCAGACTAACAGCTCTCAGCAGGAGCGGGAAGAAGACCTAACTGAGTCAATCGGGAGACAGAAAGGAGACTATTTGAAAATAGCAGGGATTCCCTAATCTCACTATGCTTACTAGTTGTCCTTTCTGCTGCCCCCTGCAGGATGTCCTTGTAATCTTTCCTATCTATGCACAACAGACCTTGCTTATTCCAACAGCCAGGATGGACCCAGTAACCCTACTGCAGAGATCAGTTTCCCTGGAGAAAATGGCTGCTTTGGAAAGTGGACTCTGTGGCATTTATACGCTGATGAGGTTCCCTCTGTAGTCGTCTCCCTTAAGTAGGATTTGCAGTTTGATATCCACCTATCTGAAGATGTGAACTTTAACACACGAAAGCACGTATTGAAATACGCATTGTTCGTCTTTCAAGGTGCCACTGGACTCTCGTCTTAATTTAACCCTTTGAGCGGGGTTCTGGAGCTGCCATACCCCATTGTGGACAATCAGTGTCACTTCCAGCCATGCCTCTGTAAAAACACTCGCAAAGCATTGTGGGAGGAGGCGACCTGCTCCTATTTTTGAGCAACAGGGCTGAAATGGGGAGAAGTGGCAATGCACCAGAGTGCATCGGAAGTGACCTCAGCCTATTGCTGGCAGTGCCATATACTCTGGTATTTGGGCAAAAAACAGGGCTATTTTTCGGCAGGAACGCACAGGAACGGAGTTTCGGCTGGCTCCCAAGTTGGCCACGCCCAGCAGGAACTCATCAGCATAATAGGCCACACCAAACAGCAGGAACTCATTAGGATTGGCTACATTAGGGGTGTGGAAAGGAGTTCCTGCTTTAAAAAAAAGGCCCTGGGTTTTGACCACAAACAAGGTAAACAGAATAAGAAGCAAAAGGTGGGTGTGGCTGGATGACCACACTTCTGGTAACATGGGGGTGTGGCCTAATATGCTAATGAGTTCCTGCTGGGCTTTTTCTACAAAAAAAGCCCTGATTAAAACCATTCATAAAACACCATCACAATTAAAACGAATTACCCTAAAGTGCTGGAACAGGGTTCAAATAAAGTGTGAGAGCACAAGTTTCAGATTAAACAGTGTTGCTTGGATGATAGTCGTGATGGTGTTCTTGCACCAGCTCAGTTGATCCATTTATCTGTGCGGCGGACCCAGGCTGTAAGTTGTGAGTCAGGGCACAGGGTCACTTCTCAGATGTTTACTGCGGCTCCTAATTAAAGGCCTGGTGGAAGAGCTCCGTCTTGCAGCCCCTGCGGAACTGTAAGAGGTCCCGCAGGGCCCTGATCTCTTGCGGGAGCTCGTTTCACCAGTATGGAGCCGCCACCGAGAAGGCCCTGACCCTGGTTATCGCCAGCCTGGCATCTTTGGGGCCTGGGAGGGCCAACTGAACACAATGCTCTCTGGGGAACATATGGGGAAAGGTGGTCTCTTAGGCTCTGCCTGAAGACTGGCAACTGAAGAAGAAGAAGAGGAGGAGGAGGAGGAGATTGGATTTATACCTTGCCCGTCACTCAGAGTTTCAGAGTGGTTTACAATCACCTTCCCTTCCCCTCCCTGTAACAGACACCCTGTGAGGTAGGTGGGGCTGAGACAGCTCTTTCGAGAAATGCTCATGAGACAACAGCTCTGAGAGAACTTATGACTGACCCAAGGTCATACCAGCAGCCGTATATGGAGGAGTGGGGAATCAACCTCCGGTTCTCCCAGATTAAAGTCTGCGCTTCTAGCCACTACACCAAACGGGTTCTTAGCGGCAACAGGACATCAGTACAGATGCTCCATGTGCGTTGCCGGTGACCATTAAATGGAGTTTTTAACGCGGCTGGTGAAGAAAGCGTGCAGCTGCGTTCTAGGGGGTGGAACTTTTTTTGGACAATGATAGATCTCAGTGGAGCGTTGCGTAGTTCTGCACAGTGTCCAGCTTGGCTGGAGTTTGTAGATGGACATCGTGTCTTGACAGCTGCCTTCGTTAAATCTGTTGTCTGCCAAAGCTTCTGGTTTTCCTTTTGTCGGCCGTGCAGCGGATGTCTCCTAACCAGCAACCGAGTTGGTTTGTAGAAGAAGAAGAGATTGGATTTATACCCCGCCCTTCACAACCCAAAGGTGTCTCAGCTTACAATCTCCCTTCCCCTCCCCTCCCCACAACAGACACCCACCCTGTGAGCAATGCTCCCTCTAAGCTGTGGAGTCTTGTGAGCAAAAATTCTACTTTGCGAGTTACTGGCATTAAAGTTGTGAGTGAGTGATTTGGTGCTGCATAGATTAGTTCGCTCTGGAGCCACATCCTTCCCGAGCGAAGACAAAAATGTGTGAGCCGGAGGCTAAAAAACGGTGTGCTAGCTCACACTAATTTAGCTTGGAGGAAACACTGCCTGTGAGGTAGGTGGGGGCTGAGAGAGCTCTGAGAGGACTGCTCTTGAGAAAACAGCTCTGAGAGGACTTGTGACTGACCCCAGGTCACACCAGCAGCTGCATGTGGAGGAGTGGGGAATCAAACCCAGTTCCTCCAAGATTAGAGTCCGCGCTCCTAACCGCTACACCAAACCGGCTCTCCTTCTCTTTCAGCCTCCCTTTGGAGGAAAGAAAATGATCTGTAATGATTGTGTACGGAAGTGGTTAATTGTGTGTGTGTGATTCTGTGCCTTGAAACGCCGAGGCATAAAGTAAGTGCCATATCTGTACATGGAAAGTAGCACGGGTGTAAATATCCTACGAGCATCCCAATGGATATTTGACGCTCTTCCGCATGCTGGCTCTGAGCATCGTTAGCTTTGAAGTCAGATTCACTGAGTTTAGTAGGACTTATTCTTGTGTAAGAGTTTGCAGGAATCATAATGACGATGATTTGTATAGCATTAATGCAAACTGAAGTCCCTCCTGAACAAAAATTAGGGTTACCAACTCTGGGTTGGAAAATTCTTGGAGATTTGTTAAGGAGAAGAAGAGATTGGATTTATACCCCGCCCTTCGCTACCCAAAGGAGTCTCAGAGCGGCTTACAAACTCCTTTCCCTTCCCCTCCCCACAACAGACACCCTGTGAGGCAGGTGGGACTGAGAGAACTCTGACAGAAACTGCTCTTTTTTCAAGAACAGCTATGCCAGAACTATGGCTTGCCCAAGGTCATCCAGCAGGTGCAAGTGGAGGAGTGGGGAATCAAACCCGGGTCTCCCAGATTAGAGTCCACGCACTTAACCACGACACCAAACTGGCTTTTCAAAGGCACACCAGTTGCCATGTGGATACTGATTTAGTCTATTAGCATCAACATCACAATCTTTATCGCATCATCAGATAAGCCGTGGCTACAGCGCCATGATTGCATCGAAATAAATGAAGATTTTTCATAAAACAATTAAAATACATAGTAGAATATCTCAAAAATAAAACCGTGATAATACACCTTTCAGATGTATGAGTAACGTATTAACTCTATGGTTAGTGACCTGGGCGTTCGCAACCGAAATAACAAAACCAAATTAGCCAGGGCATTAGAGCCAGTCGACAGAAACCAATCTGGTCAATAAAAAACTTGATCAAACGAGCAATACGCGCGCCATACTAAATTGTCCCTTTCAATCTGTTTTAGGTTCCGCAAAGGATAGAAGAGCAAAACGTTGCCGTCGAAGAAGAAAATGGAGAAATCCCCGGGGTCTGGGGAAACTGGGGGCCCTGGTCGGCCTGTTCTCGCAGCTGCAGCGGAGGGGTCATGGAGCAAACGAGGCCTTGCCTTCCAGGATATTATTATGAAAGGAACTACCACAGGCCGGGACAATTCTCTGTCCCCGAAAGGACTCTTGGTCACCAGCAGCAGCTGCACCGCCAAGAAAACCTCCTCAACCCTTACTCCGGGCACGTCATCTCTGCCATACGGACATCAGTGCCTCTTCACAGGAACGAGGAGCAGAGCCGGGCGGGCCTCCGGGCGGGCCTCTCCTCAGGGGCCCGCAACGACAGTCATTTGAGCCGAGGTGCATCGAGGGGAGGCCGCCTTTTTCAGTCTCGGCGTCGTAGTCCCAGGCCGGATAGAAGGTAGCTGTTCTCTTCGAGGCACGTGACAAATGCATTCGAGAACTGCTGTTACTTTTGAAGAGGGGTGAAAACACAAGGCGCCGTACAATATAGAACGGAATTGGGGAATTAATAGTGACAGGTCTTACCTGGCCACCGGCAGGGGGGTCCCGGTCCTCTTCCTGGAGTCTCTCGGTGTGCACGGAAGGGACGTCATCACGCAGGGCAAGTTGCGGGGAATGCTCTATTGTTTAAGGGAAAACTCTATGGTTTCCCCTTAAACGATTGACCGTCCCCTCCCCCACAACCTGCCCTGCGTAATGCTGTGAACTGGGCGCTTTGGGGACAGGGTTCCCCCCACTGGCCGGGGGCCCAAAAGTGGGCAACCCCCCGCTCCCATCGGGGGAATGGCAAGGGCCCAGGCTGTAACTGAACTTTCAACTGAGAGAAAGGAGACAGTAACGGAAGGGGGAAAGGTGCTAAATACAAGTTTCCTAGACAGTTGGGAAATGGCTGTGAAAGATGTGTCTCGGGGCGCTTCTTAAGGAGTGAACGGGACTCGATAGTGGGGATATCGGGACGCAACGAAGGCCGATTGAGAACCCACCCTTGGAGGTCCGTGAATGGATCTTCCTGGCACTTTTCAAAGGAAAATGGCAGCCAGGCATGGATCTGAATGGGCAGAGTGGTCAGCAGTGGGTTGGGGGGTGGAGCCTGAGGAGATTTGGGGGTGGAGCCTGAGGAGGGTGGGGTTTGAGAAGGGGAGGGGCTTCACCGGGGTAGAATGCCATAGAGTCGACCTTCCAAAGCGGCCAGGTCCTCCAGGTGAACTGATCCCTGGAGGTCAGCAATCTTATGAATGGGGAAGGAAACATCTAACTATAGCTCTTGGCTTGGTGTTGCCAACCAAAGTCTACCTTCCCATGGAGCAGGGGGGAGACAAAGATATAGTGGAAGAAGTATAAGACCACCTCTTCTCCCAACATACTCGGTCTCGAGTAGGAGCCAGTGCAGCTGCCATTTCCCTTTAAAATACAGAAAAGTTGGGATTATCTGATGGTCTCGTTTGGTCCAAAGGAGCCATGAAAAGGGGGGAAATGTGGGAGGCACCATTTCATCTTCCGTGTAACCAGAGGAATGCAGAGCTCCAGTAGAGAGTTTCAGAGGGCAGCCGTGTCGGTTTGGAGTAGAAGAGCCAGATTCGAGTCCAATATTACTTTAGAGACCAACAAGATTTTCAGGGGTATAAGCTTTAGAGGTTCAAAACTCCCTTTGTTCAGGTCTGAAGGGAGCTTTGGCTCGTGAAAGCTCATACCCTGAAGATCAATGAAGAGAGAGAAGAAGAAGAAGTTGGATTTATACCCCGCCCTTCACTACCCGAAGGAGTCTCAGAGCGGCTCACGGTCTCCTTTCCCTTCCCCTCCTCCAACAGACACCCTGTGAGGTAGGCGGGGCTGAGAGAGCTCTTTCGAGGACTGCCCTTGAGAGAACAGCTGTGCCAGAACTATGGCTTGCCCAGGGCTCTTTTTGTAGAAAAAGCCCAGCAGGAACTCATTAGCATAATAGGCCACACCCAACAGCAGGAACTCATTAGCATATTGGGCCACACCCCTGACAGCACAGCTCATTAGCACATTAGGCCGCACCCACATGTTACCAGAAGTGTGGTCATCCAGCCACACCCACCTTTTGCTTCTTATTCTGTTTACCTTGTTTGTTGTCAAAACCCAGGGCCTTTTTTTTGGTAGCAGGAACTCCTTTGCATGTTAGGCCACACACCCCTACTGTAGCCAATCCTAATGAGTTCCTGCTGTTGGGTGTGGCCTATTATGCTAATGAGTTTCTGCTGGGCGTGGGCAGCTCGGGAGCCAGCCGGAACTTCGTTCCTGTGCGTTCCTGCCCAAAAATAGCCCTGGGCTTGCCCAAGGTCATCCAGCAGGTGCAAGTGGAGGAGAGGGGAATCAAACCCGGTTCTCCCAGATTAGAGTCCATACACTTAACCACTACACCAAACTGGTGTGGAGATATTCCCCAGTTACATATTCTTTGTCCTCTGACCTGGATAGCCCAGGCTAGCCTGATCTCGTCAGATCTCAGAAGCTAAGCAGGGTTGATCTTTATTAGTATTTGGATGGGAAACCACCAGGGAAGTCCAGGGTTGCTACACAGAGGCAGGCCATCGCAGACCACCTCTGAAAACATCTTGCCTTGACCTGGATGGTTCAGGCTTGCCTGATCGCGTCAGATTTCAGAAGCTTTGCAGGGTTGATTGACCCCTGTGAGTACTTGGATGGGAGACCACCAAGGAAGCCCAGGGTCGCTACCAGAGGCAGGCCATGGCAAACGACCCGTGTTTGCCTCTTCCCTTGAAAACCCAACAGGGTCACCATAAATCGGTTGCGGCTCGATGGTCCTTTCCACCACCAACCTATTCTCTGTGTTTTAAGTGATTTTTGGGGGGAATGAATTTGTTTGTAGATACAGAAACGATCCTGGGTGGAAACCAATGCTCCCTCTGAGCTGTGGAGTCTTGTGAGCAAAAATTCTAGTTTGTGAGCTACTGGCATTAAAGTTGTGAGTGAGCGTTTTGGCTGCTGCATCAGTTAGTTTGCTCTGAGGCTGTCCTTCCTGAGCTAAGGCAAAAATGTGTGAGCTGGAGGCTAAAAAACTGTGAGATAGCTCACACTAACTCAGCTTAGAGGGAACACTGGTCCCAGTGCTCCCTCTGAGCTGTGGAGTCTTGTGAGCAAAAATTCTAGTTTGTGAGCTACTGGCATTAAAGTTGTGAGTGAGCGTTTTGGCTGCTGCATCAGTTAGTTTGCTCTGAGGCTGTCCTTCCTGAGCTAAGGCAAAAATGTGTGAGCTGGAGGCTAAAAAACTGTGAGATAGCTCACACTAACTCAGCTTAGAGGGAACACTGGTCCCAGTGCTCCCTCTGAGCTGTGGAGTCTTGTGAGCAAAAATTCTAGTTTGTGAGCTACTGGCATTAAAGTTGTGAGTGAGCGTTTTGGCTGCTGCATCAGTTAGTTTGCTCTGAGGCTGTCCTTCCTGAGCTAAGGCAAAAATGTGTGAGCTGGAGGCTAAAAAACTGTGAGATAGCTCACACTAACTCAGCTTAGAGGGAACACTGGTGGAAGCATTGCAACAGAAGAATGTGCTGCATTTAGGCATTTGTGTTATGATTATGAATGGATATGAAAGTGAGCTCCCATTCCGTGGAAGATCCTCTGTGGGTTTGCGGTAGTCCTGTGCGGGGTATGAAATTCACTGGCAGCTACGCAGAAATTGAGGAAGGGCAGACGACTAATGCAAACGCCAGGGTTTTAGTGTGATAAATGTAGCACACTCTCTGAATTCTGCAAAGGTCAAACATACATCAAGAGGGAAGGGGCTTCATTTCTGTAGATGAATGGAAAACGAATGGTAAAACCCTTGGCAGGAAAAGCTGCTGGAGGGAATTCAGTGTCCAAAGTCAGTCCACGAAGTCTGCATTTTAATAATGGATCGTATTGATAGAAGACGTCTGGACTGTCCACTTTTGGAATATTTGCTTTAAAAAAAAAAGACTAGCGGCAGACATCTAGTCAACAATAAAACAGGGATTATGGTCTACGACTGGGATGAACTCGCTGGCTGGAGAATGTGGCCGGGTGCGGCGGGACCGAATCCAAACCGTTGCGGTAGCTGAGGAAATCCTTCAGAAATGCAAAGTAGAATGTTTGTATCCGTCGTGGATGAGCGGGAAAGGGTTCGAGCGGCTGGTAGGCAGTTGACCGGCAAAAGAGGGACCATCCAGCACTGTGTTGCTCAAAACAGTTCTGCGACAGAGGCCCTGATTCTGTGCACCACTAGAACTGCTAGTTGGAAGGAGATTTGGCCTAGGGTTGCCAGATCCTACCTTGTCATCAGCAGGGGGATTTGGCGGTCATTCCTGGAGGGGGTGGAGATATCGTGTGATGTCCCCAATGCAATGACATCACTTCCTCTGTTTACCATAGAGTTTTGCCCTCAAACCAGAGCGTTCCCCCGCCACGTCGCCACCATGATGACATTACTTCTCAGTGATTTCATTGCATCGGGGATGTCATGTGGGGACATGGCTGTTTGGGGGCAAAGTTCCCCCACCGGCCAGCCCCCCCAAATGGGGGAACCCCAACCAGGAGTTGGGGACTGGAAACCCTAATTTGGCCACTGCTTCCTCTTTAGAGAGCCACCCGGCCTTGGCTGTTGACCAAACGGGGGTGACCGTCCGGCATCTGGTTTCTCGCAGTGTTATTTCAGAAAAATTGGAAACAGGAGTCTCTTTTCTGTTGGAAGGAAGATTTCTATAGTCGCATCTCGGTGCTCTCTGTGGCGTTTTTGTCCGAGAGCGATTTCCCGGCCCACGTGCTGAGTCGCTCTCTATACGATCGGCGGAAGCCGTAGGTGTCTGCATGATTGAGGTTTATAAGATTATGCATGGGAAAGAGCAGGTAGAGAAAGAGGTACTTTTCTCCCTTTCTCACAATACAAGAACTCGTGGGCACTCCATGAAATTGCTGAGCGGTCGGGTTAGAACGGATAAAAGGAAGTACACCCAAAGAGTGATTAACACTTGGAATTCACTGCCACAGGAAGTGGTGGCAGCTACAAGCATGGACGGCTTCAAAAGGGAATTAGATAAGCATATGGAGCAGAGGTCCATCAGTGGCTATTAGCC